TGGCACAAACAGTTAAGCTCTCGGCTCCTAAACGAAAGGTTGGCGGTTCAAACCAAACCAGCAGCTCTGTGAGAGAGGAACCTAACAATCTGCTTCCATAAAGGTTACAGCCGAGAAAACACTGTGGGGCAGTTCTGCTCTGTCACATGGGGTTGCTATGAGTCAGAATTAACTCAAGGGCACACAATAGCACAATGAATGTTCTATTTGGTTTTGTTTTTTTTTTTTTAAGTTTTCTAATATTACTTCTTGGCAGGACATAAGGAAATTAATGAGTGTTCTGTTGTCATTTCAGGTTGATGACTTTGAAAAGTTATCACTCAGGGTCAGGTTGGAAGTGAAGTCTCACGTAGTTAGAAACAAAAGCCAAACAAACAGAAGCACACATCCACAGCCGTGTTTTGTGTACGTCTGTACAGACGTGTGACTCTTGAAGAAGGAGGGCTTGGAAAACGGGAGCCCCCTAACCAACTTTTTAATGCCAGTACCCAGCATACAGGTTTTCAGTTTATTGAACAAATGAGTCAAAATCGGGATACAAGGTCAAGGTCAGAAACACTCAAGATTCCAAGATCATCAGACAATAAGCAGGCGTCCATTAGGAATGTGCAGACTAGAATGATCATTTTTAAGTTGACAGATTAGGACAAAATAAATAGGACCAGAGAGGCAGATCCTCACCGGAGAAAGGATTGTTTGGGGACATTATGCAGTCAGCCACTCTGGGTCCTGCTGCCACCCTGTAGCAGGTCAATGCTAGGTTACTCTTCTAGCCTGTGGACTTTATCATTATGTGACGGGAGTGCCTGTCAGCATCCACAATGCATTCCCATCAGCCTGACCACAAGCTGTTTTAACATCCATGTTTCTAAAAAGGAAATTTGGATAGCCTTGCCTGTATTTCTAAAAGTACCTTGAAAGACAGAAATAATACGTAATGTAAAGAAGAAGAAAAAAAAGTTTTTTTTTCATTAAGCCCAGCTTTGAAAATCTGGCTTTGCCCTTTTGAGTACACAGTTAATTCACTGGAATGTGAGCTTCTGTTATTAAAATGAAACTGAACAATTGCAAGTCAGCGTTGCGGTAAAGGAGATTCTTGTGTAAGTAGGAGGGCACAGCCAAGTCTACGATTCTTTGAGGCTAGTTCACTTCTTTCAGAGACTGCTATTCTAAACCACCCTAAAAAGCATGGATGTTTGGATTAGATGTCTGCAAAAGAAGCAGCTTGCCTATTAAAACCAGTTAGTATATATCCCACTTAAAAATGACATAATTTTTTTTAGAATTATTTTTTAATTTGGGAAATATCGGTGCAGGTTCACATTCTTTATCTACAATCCTGAAATCCAAAGAGCTTTAAAAACACACTCACACTGTAACTCCCATGGCAACAAAACCTGATCTAACCTCAAATAATTTGGAGTCAAAACCTGACCAGAACACATGTGAAGCTATACACAGTTGCTGTTTATCTTACTTGTGTGAATATTTATAAATTCTATTGTAGAAATATTAACATGTTGATTATGGGATGCCAACTCAAACGCTGCTGGAGTATTCTGTATGATCTGTGTACCACATTATTTTCTTACATTTGAAAAATGCTATATTCCAAAACAAATCCAAACCCAAAAATTTTGGTAAAGAGATTGTGGACTTTTATGTAGAACTAATACTCATAAGTTTGCTGTACTATAATAGACTTTTTGAAAGTATAGTTTTGTATCTTAATAATACAGATTGACCCATGATTATATCTAAAACTATAGTCAAGTTGTGATGGAATTCTTGTCCCTTGCACTTTTGAGTTTCTGATATACGTGGTGTGTTTGGTCTTTTATTTCCCATTGTGATATGACTCAGTGCTGCCCGATCTTCTGCTGATTCAAATATGGATGATATTTGTAAGCTGCTTAGAAGTACAGGTTATTCCAACCAACCAGGAGCCAGAAGACCACCCAACTATCCTGAGAGCTATTTCCAGAGAGTGCCTATCAATGAATTGTTCATTAGTATGGTCATTGGTCGACTCAGATCTGATGATATTTACAACCAGGTGGGGAATAAATCTATTATGATCTTAATAGTTTAAAACACTGGTTTCACTTTCCTTCTTGGTTATTCCTTTCCTTCCTTCTTCCTCAGAAGAGGAGGAACAGCTAGAAACAATGTAAACCCTCTTGAGCTATGTTATGGGAGGGTAGAGGAAAGAGGGATGTTAATTTTTCAGAACCAGAGATTTTAGGGAGGAGATGGGATTTGAACCGTGCTTGATAGTTGTCGAGTGTGTGTTATGTGCCAGTCCACGTGCTGGTACTGGGGATATATCACGGAAGAAGGCAGGCCATCGTCCCTACCCATAATGAGCTTGTAGCTTAGGAAAGAAGACAGACAGCTAAGGAGTTACAGTAAAGCAAGGTGAGTGTTTTGGTGAGGAAGCACAGGGTGCCTTGGAGTATATAACAGGACAGCAAGATTGCAACAGGTGACAAAGGGGGATAAGGGCAGTGCCGCTAAGGAGGTGGCATGAGCAGGGCTGTAAAGATACTGTAGCATTTGCAAGTTGCCTCACTCTCCTCTTCAGTATGTGGACCATTCACTTACTTCAAAGATACCAAAGACAACTACCATTTGACTTCATTGTCTGTGATGGGAAAGACACAGAAATGGTACAACTCTTGGGCTGGAAGGAAGAGAATATCGTGGGGTTAGGGGTAAGAAGGAAGGCCACACTTTAGCAATGCCACAGTTCATTCCATTGTCCAGGATCCTCACAGGAGATGGACTGGTGAGAGACTGGTACACCTTAGAGCTAGACAACTTACTTGGAGACCATATACATTCAAGGGTTACCAATGGCTAACTCTCCGGGGCATGGGCTCTGTGTTGCAGGTCTCCGCGTACCCGTTGCCCGAGCATCGCAGCACTGCCCTGGCAAACCAAGCTGCTATGCTATACGTGATTCTCTACTTTGACCCTTCCATTCTGCACACCCAGCAAGCAAAGATGAGAGAGATAGTGGATAAATACTTTCCAGATAATTGGGCAAGTATTACAGTAGTCTTTGTTCACTCTAACATGTTTTTTGGAATGCTGATTCTAACTATTCTAATTACTGGTCTTTTACCCAGAGGTCATAATGTTATATAAATAACAGCACATAAAATCACCACGGTAAAATTACTGTGTGTTAAGAATATTATACATCGTAACATGAAGGAATAAATCAGTCAGTAAAATGTCCTGAAGAACCCATTAGTCTTTTTCCTAAGTTGATAGTCTCAAGGTAAAACCACATATTAGGATGTATCTTCCTTTAGCTACTGAGGTTGCAACTAAGTTACATAATGGTTTTTTTACTGTTGTTATTTTTTTCTATTTTATCCATCTAAGCTAGCAAAATTTGTCTCATTTGTCGTTTTGTGAATGGAATTTTGGTTTTATACTAAGTTTTGTCTGTAAGCTAGCAGTAATGGGGCTATTAAGGTTATATACTGTAGGGGTATGCTTGTAACTTTGTTAATGTTTTTGTTTCAGTTAAAAATAATTCTTAAAGGAAAAAAGATGACATAACATACTGAATATGTATGAAATGTTTTCTTTGAACATGGAGGGCTTAATAAAGTGCAATGAAATGGAAACACAAGCGTTTGAAAGGCAGGCATATTCTCAGCAGATTTTGTTCCACTTCTTGCCAGTTGTTGAATCGTATTATCTGTGATGAGGGACCTGGATGAGGCTCTTGACCGGCAATAGGAGAACGGCCTTCCATTAGGAGAGAATGGTTTCTGTCCACAGATGAATCGTATTTATCACCTTGGAGTTGAACCATCAAGAGGAAACCTCTGATAGTCTGGCTTTATGTGCCTAAATTTAATGAAGTTTTGACCATAATCCTATAATCAGAAACATTTTTTAGTATTATGGAAGGTCAAAATCCAATTTGTATGATACACACCTATAAAAACATCCTGGCAGGCTGAAGAGAAAGGAAAGCCTTGTTTTGGTTATTTTTCCATGGATAGCAACACTGTCACTCTTTTGTTCCAAAGTGCTGGTAAGGAAGAATACTTAACCTATGCATTTGGAAAATCTTGTTTTTTTCTTTGGAATGGAGTAAATACAGTCTTTGACTTGAAGGGATGGGCAGTGTCTTTCATAAGGTTATGTTCTCCCTAGCCCTTGCCTTGAAGTGAGTAAGTGTTTAACAATTACTGAACGAATGCCTCTTCTTTCAGGTAATTAGTATTTACATGGGCATCACAGTAAATCTAGCAGATGCTTGGGAACCTTACAAAGCTGCAAAAACAGCTTTAAACAATACCCTGGACCTTTCCAATGTCAGAGAACAGGTAAGTTCTGGTTAAACCAAAACCTGATTCCGTCGAGCGGACTCGACTCATAGCGCCCCTATAGGGCAGAGTCGAACTGTCCCATAGGGTTTCCGAGGAGTGACTGGTGGATTTGAACTGCAGACCTTTTGGTTAGCAGCCAAGCTCTTAACTGCTGCGCCACCAGGGCTCCAGGTTCTGGTTAAGCAGGGAAAATTCTCTAATAATCACAAGTATCATATATGAGGTAGGAAACAAGCTAAGTAGATTTCCCAAGGAATTTGGAAGATGTCCACATAAATATTTTAGTGCAGTGATTAATGAAAGGTGAATTTTGTAGATTGGAATAAGATAGACTTTTACAGATGTTTAAATTATGTGGTGTGTGTAAATGGGAGACCTGGGTCCTAAGAAAGATTGACCATCCTAAAATGAGTCAGTGTGACATAGGGCCCCAATTGACTCAGTTTACTCTGCTGAGAGACCATGTCCTTATGGGCAAAGCTGATTTCACCAGTATCTGAAATTAATATGTTTTTATCAGTAGGATGAATGTTGAAGATGGTAACTGAATGTACACAGTTATGTCCTATCACTGTCATTTAAATTCATCATCCCTGTTGCACTAAATAAGCAACAAGACCCAAGTTATTCATCTCCTCAAAATTCAAATGGCTATATCCTGTCTCATTAATAAGCAAACAAAGCAGAAGGAAATACCTGTGTAATAGAAGAATAAACATAGAATCTTTTATTGGGGAGCATAATTGATATTTCTAAACTAGCATGTCCCTCAGCCTGGCTGGCTGGGTTTTTGAGTTTCCAATGTGGATAGAACAATGTTGTCTCCTAACACTTCAGCATGTTTTATTCAAATAAATTGAATTCCATAAATAATGCACAAAATAATTTCAATTTTGGCATATCTCCTAGAAATGTTTTAGAGAAAGTGATAGAACTTCTATACTTACTAGCATCAGAGCATTAATTTTTCGTTACTAAAATGCTTTTCCACATTAGTATTTTCTCATTTATGACATTTTAAGAAGAAGTTTCTTCAGAGTCTTCTGATAAAATACCTTTTGATAGTTTTAAACTAACTTGACTAGGTTAATGACATTTAAAGTTTATTTTAACTCTTGCTTTAGTAAAGCAGAATGAATAGATTCTCAGAAGGCTGGTTTGAAAATTCAGTTTTTAAATATGGATGTACATTATTTAGTTTAGCTTTCATATACCTATAGAAGTCTTATCTTTTGATTTCTGCTCTTCTCTGCCTCCTTTGGTTGATAATAATAGGAAGAATAGGCAATTTAGCTTCTGTCTTTATGTTTCTTTTTATCCAAGTTAAGAATAGAAGGGATTTATGGGGTCACCTGATCCAGTTCTCCATTTGATGTTTAAAGAAACCAATATTCAGAGGTTAAACTCAAAGTCATACCAATATTTAATCACAGCCAGAACTAGGATTTAGTCTCTTAATTCTGAGTCCAATACCCTGTTTAAAAATGTCTAGTCTGAGGTACAACTATTGGTCTCTACTCATCTGGAGCAAAAGAGTAAGAAGGAAACCAAAGACTAAAGAAATTAGTCTACAGGACAAATGGTCTACATGAACCACAGCCTCATCTACACTGAGACCAGAAGTACTAGATGGTGCCTGGCTACCACTACTGACCATTCTAATCAAGGCCACAATAGATGGACCCGGATAGAATGGGAGAAAAATGTGGAACAGAACCTCAAATTAAAAAAAAAGGACCACCACCACTTACCCCTTGGGTTCCCTTTTTGGTTAATTACCTTTTTGGTTCAAAAATTCTTGATTTTCCCCCTTGGTTCTTTTTTTCTTTTAAAAGGTTCCCTTTTTTGGACCCAACCGTCAGCAGTTTCTTTAAAACAAAGATAAGAATGTAGGGAGCAGAGAAAGTAGATTAATGGAAATGGAACAACTAGAAAGGGAGTAACAAGAATGTTCATGCATTGTGAAGAATGTAACCAATGTCACTGAATAACTTGTATAGAAACTGTTGAATGGAAACCTAAACTGCATATAAACCTTCACTAAAAACACGATAAAATTATTTTTTAAAAAATATCCAATCAGCCAGTTGCCTTTGAGCCTTTTAAACTTTAGACCAGACATGATTCACCTCATGTAGAGAGATGTTGTTGTTTGTCAAGGGATTCATTTGAATGTGATTCATTTTCAAGATAAATAATTATTTCTTTCTTTGAAAATAATTCAAGTTTTCCCCCCAAAGGCAAGCAGATATGCTACTGTCAGTGAACGAGTGCATGCTCAGGTGCAACAATTTCTGAAGGAAGGCTACCTAAGGGAGGAGATGGTTCTGGACAACATCCCAAGGTTTCTGAATTGCCTGAGAGACTGCAACGTTGCTATCCGATGGCTAATGCTTCATACGGCAGACTCAGGTAATGCAGAAAAGATGGCCGTTTGTATTGCTCCGTATAAAGGCTTTCAGAATTTATATCTGTTCCATGATACAGTGTGGTTTAGCAGGTAGAGAGCCCTTGGATGAGAATCAAGTTACTTTTTTAGGTAAGTCATTTTTGTGTCAACTTGGACAAGTCAGTGACATATCTGAATAGCTGACCTACTGTTAGATCCTGGGGAATATGAGGAAATGTAGCCTCCATGCTCAAGGCGTCTATGACTCTAAAACTCCTGGTTTCATGGTAGTAAAATAAATAGGTTGGGCTAAGTCACACCTCTGAGCTTGTTTAGAGCTGGCACAATTCCTTATACTTAGTAAATGCTTGATCAACGTTAATTAACGAATGAATTCACTCATCCAGAGCTGCATATCCCTCCTCCTCAGAGTTGTGTAATTCCGCAGGCCTGGAAAACCCTCTGCTTTTTGTTTTTCATTCAACAAACTTTTCTTGAGGACCTGCCCTAGACAGGCACTGCCTTCAGCACTTCCTTGCTCCTTCAGAGAAAACTGTCTCTACAAGATTGTTCCATACCAGATTATTCTGCTGCTTCCCTCAGTAGCACCCAAGACCCTTGTCTCACAGCCCTTCCAGTCAAGATGTTCTTCCCCATCCCCATGTCGCCACACAGTCACTCAAGCTGCCATGTGTTCCCGCTTCCTGTGAGTGGTCAGAAGTGAAAACAGCAGTTGGACTTCCTCAGCCTTCATATCTTTGAAAATGTGTGGAATTTCTCCTCAGCCTTCTCTCCTCAGACTAGAAATCCCCAGCGTCTTAAACCTTTTCTCACAAGTGCTACTTTCTAATTTTTTTCATCGTTTTGCTTATTGGCCTAGCTCTCTTTCCAGTTTACAATGTACACACAGCAGGAATGCTGTGGCTGAAGTTTTTAATCATCTAATGGATCTGTTTTCAATTAGAGTTTATTTTGGCATAAACTCTAATTCTAATTTGAGATTTTACGACACTGACTCAGCTTACAATCTTCTTTACCGAAAGTCTTAATTAAATTCACCAGCATATAAACAACCCAGGCCCTCACTTTATCATGTCCTAAAACTGACTATACTTTTCCACTGACTCAGCCTCATCTTCATCTTCTGCATGACTGTGCCTGACAGCCGAGCCAGTAGGTTCCCAGATCTGCAGCTGTGCCAGCGACAACCTCAGCTCACCAGAGGCATGTGCTTTTATCATCAGCCACATCTGGTTTCCATTTTTGTGCCTGGCAGTTGTCTGACCTGATTGCACAAGGTCATAATTTACTAGGAACAAATGATTTGCCTATCTAGTTGTGAGTCATAGGTAGAAGAATAACTGCTTATTTAGCTTTTATGGTGTTTTAATCATTGTGTGCAGGAGGGAAGGCATGCTAGGTGCTATTAACCCGCTGGAGTCATGGTGCACAGGCTTCAGGTACTTGTGCAGTGTGCTTGAAGAAACACACTGAGGCACCACTGGCTATTGAAGACTGACCCCAAGGTCACCACAGTTGTAGAATGTTTTCTATCGGTTCTCTGGGTCCAGTTCTTGATGGTCTGATCTTAGACAGATGGTCAGGCCCTAGAAACACTGGAACCAACCTAGTTTCTACTGAGGAGCCAACTGGCTAATGGTTAATGCCCATTGAGGAATACAGCATATTTTTCTGTCAACTAGATTCTTATGGCTCCTATCAAAAAGTGAAAGCAATGTAATATCAGAAGGTTTCTTTTTGAATTAGAACTCACATAAAGACAAGTGGAACTTCTTAAGAGTTTTCTTTTTCTAGTTAGACAAATGTAAACTGAAAAAGTTTTCCTGTCTGGGTAATCAGAGTCACCAGTTCCAGTATATTTCTTCCCAGATAGTTCTGGAGAATGCATGATAAATCAGAACTCTGCAATTCCCTAGGAAAACTGAACGCTTGCCAATGGAATATCTTAGAAATCAGTATTTAAAATGGCCTTCCACAGGCTTCACCATACCTGAAGTGCCCAAAATAACCCATAACACATGCTTATATACCAAAGTTCATTCTACACATGCCAACCATCTTGTGATATAAATGGGGCAGGGGGGACAGGTAGGGAGGGATATAGGAAAGTGGGTGTATATGAATGTAATCTTAGTGCAACTACCAAGGACCTTCTTGTCAACCTCGCCAGCCATTTATGATATTTGATGGGGAAAATGCGAGAATTCACACATACAATACTAGCGCAGCGCCAAAGACCTTATACGTTATTCAGCTGTGAACTTTAGTTAATGACGATTTCTATTGTTACCTTTGTTATTCTGGTCTTATTTACAGTTGAGGTAGCTTTTGCTTGTAAGTATCCTTGCCGTATCCTTATTCTTTTTTAGATAAATAATTGTCCCAGTAAACTAATCTCAACAAATACCAATATTTTTTATTGTATATATTTCTTTGAACATATTGTTCATTTTCTTTGAAATAGTTTAGCTTGGCAGCTGATAGGCTGGCCTGGGAATCAAGACATCACAGTGTTTTACCCCTCGGTCAGTCATGGTCTAATGCTGTGACATTGGCCTGGCTGCCTTAGCTCTCGTGCCTGGGTAGTGAATAATCCAGAAAGTTCTGAGTACCTGCCATGCCTTTCAGCCCGTATGATGTTTTAGAGTGCCTTGCTGTGTTGATGATTTTTTATTATATTGTTATACTTTTTTGTGTGTGCGTGTGCTTTAAGTGAAAGTTTACAGTTCAGCTTAGTTTCTCATACAAAAATTTATACACACATTGTTATGTGACCCTGGCTGCTCTTTCTGTACTGTGACAGCACACTCCTCTTTTCCACCCTGGATTTCCCATGTCCATTCAACCAGCTCCTGTCCCTTTCTACCTTCTCATCTTGCCTCCAGACAGGCGCTGCCCATTTAAACTCATGTATCTACTTGAGCTAAGAAGCACACTCTTCGCAAGTATCATTTTATGTCCCATAGTCCACTCTAATCTTTGTCTGAAGAGTTGGCTTCGGGAATGGTTTTAGTTTTGGCTAACAGAGAGTCCTGAGGCTATGTCTTCCAGGGTCCCTCCAGTCTCAGTCAGACCATTAAGTCTGGTCGTTGTACTAGAGTTTGAGTTCTGCACCCCACTTTTCTGCTGCTCCATCAGGAACTCTCTGTTGTGTTCCCTATCAGGGCAGTCATTGGTGGTAGCCAAGCATCATCTAGTTCTTCTGGTCTCAGGCTGATGGAGTCTCTGGTTTATGTGGCCCTTTTGTCACTTGGGTTAATATTTTCATTTTGTCTTTGGTGTTCTTCATTCTCCTTTGATCCAGCTGGGTTGGGACCAATTGATGCATCTTAGATGGCCGCTTGCTAGCTTTTAATACCCCAGATGCAACTCACCAAAGTGCGATGCAAAACATTTTCTTAATAAACTTTATTATGCCAGTTGACCTAGATGTCCCCTGAAACCGTGGTCCCCAGACCCCTGCCCTTGCTACTCTGTCCCTCAAAGCATTTGGTTGTATTCAGGAAACTTCTTAGCTTTTGGTTTGGTCCAGTTGTGCTGACTTCTCCTGTATTGTGTGTTGTCCTTCCCTTCACCTAAGTCTTGTCTATTATGTAATTAGTGAATACGCCTCTACCTCCCTCTCCACCCTTGTAACCATCAAAGAATATTTTCTTCTTTAAACCTTTTCTTGAGTTCTTATAATCGTGGTCTTACACAATATTTGTCCTTTTGCAACTTACTAATTTCATTCAGCATAATGCCTTCCAGATTCACCCATGTTATGAGATGTTTCACGGATTCATCGTTGTTCATTGTTGCATAGTATTCCACTGTGTGAATGTACCACAATTTGTTCACCCATTTGTCTGCTGATGGACACCTAGGTTGTTTCCATCTTTTTGCTATTGTGAACAATACTACAGTGAACGTGGGTGTGCATAAATCTATTTGTGTGACGGCCCTTATTTCTCTAGGATATATCCCAAGGAGTGGGATTGCTGGATCATATGATACTTCTATTTCTAGCTTTCTAAGGAAGCGCCAAATCCATTTCCAAAGTGGTTGTACCATTTTACATTCCCACTAGCACTGTATAAGTGTTCCAGTCTCTCCACAAGATCTCCAACATTTATTATTTTGTTTTTTGGATTAATGCTAGCCTTGTTGGGATGAGATGGTATCTCATTGTAGTTTTGATTTGCATTTCTCTAATGGCTAATGATTGTGAGCATTTCCTCATATATCTGTTAGCCACCTGAATGTGTTCTTTGGTGAAGTGCCTGTTCATATATTTTGCCCATTTTTTAATTGGGTTATTTGTCTTTTTGTTGTTGAAGTTTCACAGTATCTTATAGATTTTCGAGATTAGATGCTGATCGGATTTATTGTAGCCAAAAATTTTTCCCCAGTCTGTAGGTTGTCTTTTTACTCTTTTGGTGAAGTCTTTTGATGAGCAGAAGTGTTCGATTTTTAGGAAATCCCAGTTATTTAGTTTCTCTTCTGGTGTTTGTACACTGTTAGCAATGTTTTGTATTCTGTTTATGCCTTGTTTTAGGGCTCCTAGCATTGTCCCTATTTTTCTTCCATAATCTTTATTGTTTTTGATTTTATATTTAGGTCTTTGATCCATTTTGAGTTAATTTTTGTGCATGGTGTGAGGTATGGGTCTTGTTTCAATTTTTTGCAGATGGATATCCAGTTATGCCAGTACTGTTTGTTAAAGAGACTATCTTTTCCCTATTTAATGGACTTTGTCAAATATCAGCTGCTTGTAGGTGGATGAATTTATATCTGGATTCTCAATATTGTTCCATTGGTCTATGTATCTGTTATTGTACCAGTACCAGGCTGTTTTGACTACCGTGGTGGTATAA